AGTATAGTTTCTCATACGTTACACTGCAGCCCCTATGTTCATCTTAGATAAACATTACGGGTAACCCAGATTTGAAAATAGAGAGGCAGCCCTTTTAACAGTTGAAATGGGTTGACTGTGGGATTTATATGTTAAACTGCCTCATCAGGGCAGAAGGACTGGATAGCTCAGTGATTGAGGTCTCTGGCTGCAGAGCCAGACGTTGGGAGTTTGATTCTCCTCTTGGCCTCCTTGACAGTGGCTGGACTCAATGATCCATAAAGTCCCTTCCAGCTCTGTAGTTCCAAGATGATGATGATAATGATGATGATGAAAGACAATGTGTAATGTTGTCTATATTGCAAATTAATTATTATTTGCCTACCAGTTCTGAATCACAATACTTCCAATTTTAGCATTTTTTTTGTTTCTATTTATTGGCCATCAGTCCTTCACCATCTCCTATTCCGTTAACTGAAACATTTGAAAAATATAAATCTGTGCTAGTTCTTTATAAATATTTGTTGCAACTGTCATGATGATGGGATATGTAGTCAGAGAAATGTAAGATGGAGTCAGACAGGTTCTGTGTGAAGATGATTTGAAAGACATTGGAATGTGTTTTTCTAAGTTCTATGAGAGTGTTCTTCTGAAGATTGGTACAGCATGGTTCAAGATATTGCTGAAGGTTGACTCAAGAGGCCCGTGGAAGACTCAACATGCTGAGCTAATTGAAGAAGAGATAAAACACCTGGACTCTCATGGGAATCAGGGAGCAGAAACCCCTTGAGGCTAATTGGTTAACAGCCAGAAATGTCAAGAAGGGAGGAGTCAGAGAGAGTAGTAAAATGGACGATGGGTTATGCAAGTGTTGAATGGAGATTTGGAAATTCTGTTCTGTTCTGGATTTCGATTCCATGATGATGGGAGAGAAAAGAACTTGATTGAGAAAGGATGTAAGTAAAGAGAAAGAAAGAGGTGGGGCTAACCCACTATAGCCCACCTTAGCCTAGCTTACTAGTTTATTATTTTAATGGGAAATAGTTACTTTATCTAATGGCAATGATCTTTGAATATGTTCTTTATGCTAATGCTTGTGCAATATAAATTGATTCTATGAAACTTTATTTTTTCTAATAAAATTAATTATAAAATTCTACAAAAGGACTGGTCTCTTGAACAGCAGGGTCTGGCTAAATCCAGGAGGTGGGGGGGGGGCAAATTAGCTATCTTTAAGAGTCCTACCTGAGCTGTTGTGAGTTCTAAGGAAACACAAAGCCCATGTGTCTGTACTTCCAAAGTACTGAGTAAACGTAAAGTGTTCTTTTAAGGTCAGATTTGCTCAAAGGGCGTGCGCTACACACTGCTGAGGTCTTGGGACTTGCCCCAGCGCAAAGGTGGTAGGTAAGTGGCCTATCAAACTCTCTGACTGAGTGTTAAGCGCCCCTTAGGGGGACTTGTGCACCACAGCAACTTAGTAAATTTGATGCTCGGGAGAGTAGAGTTTGATCAGGACAAAAATGTTCCAGATAATATAAATAGTGGAAAACCACTTTAGTCTCTGTATGTCTGTCTTAGATTTAAACTTTAGCTTGGTTCAGCCAAAATGGATGGTTTGGAAAGACTGGATACCAGAATGCCTTTTTAGGAAGAAGCTGGATAGTTCAGCCAGATGTTGGTGATAAGAAAACGGACAAATGCCTTTTTCAGCTGTGTTAAGTGGTGGTGCTCTGTGGTGTTTCCTTTTAATCGGATGTTATGATTTGCATTAATGTTGTTTTTGCAACCACAAAAATCCTAAATGTTTGCAGATGTTCATGGACTGTTAATATTATACTTCAGTGATGTGAAGTTAACGGAGAGACAGTGTATCCTCATACAGTTTCATTACTTTTTTTGTTGACAAGACATTATGGTTGGTCGAACACTTACCACCTGTCATGGAAAAGTCTGACGATCTCACAGGACTGTTTACATTTGAATGAGTATCCTCTGGTTGTTATTTCTATTTGGACGCTTTTTTGGACATTCAGATAGCTTCCACTACTCTACACACTTAATCAGCTGTGGTACAGCCTTCACTTACATTGTTGTGCATTGACTTTGTTTTCTTTTCTGTTTTTCCTAGGTGTGGCTAGTCTGCATATATGAAAAGATGTTATGCATATCTATCCAGCAGAAAGCCCCAGGATAACAGATTTATAGGCAGAGGCTCCCAGTTAAGAGGCTTTACCTCTTCAGAACTCCAACTGGCCAAGTCAAACAAACACAACTTTAAGACAACCTATGTGTGGAAGGAGATAAATTTAGACAAAGCCATGTCCCTCTCTTCAGCATCTTAATACCCACAGCACAATGTGAGTCACAATTATGTGATATCCCTCCCGCCTTTACCATTTGGCACTTGTAGTCTTCCACCTTGCATCCTAAACGTATTATATTCAAGTACTCAGGCAGAAGCTAAGTATTGAAGAGGTACACACTGGGCACAAAAATTATGCTAAGGTACCACTATGCAGCATTGCTCTTCCTTCCTGCATGAAATCCAAATGTACTGCTCAGTACATTTGGATATACTGAGCAGTTCTCCTTTGCTAATGGGGTGGCTGGCCCTGCTTCTCCGATGCATGTTTATAAAGAGGAAGTGTGTAAAAGAAAAGTTGGGTGGGTGAGTGTATGTGCTTAATTTCTAGAACTAACTCTGTCTTGTGGTCATTTGATTATCTTTTTACACAATATTTGGTTTCCTATTACTGTATGCTGCCCTGATGAGATTAGGGTGTTACAAATTTGCCCTTTAAGTGTGTGATTTCAACAGAATTAAAGATGGAATACATCTACAGGACTTCCTTCTCTAGGATCTCAAGAAAAACGATACACCCAAGTCAAAAGCTAGCTTTTCTTCCTTGCAAGATATGTCAGGGAAGCAGACTTGGTAAGCTTTTTTGACAGTGCAAAGAGTATAAGTGACTAGAAAGGACCCCAGGAGCAAAAGCAGCAAAAGATTTAGATATATTTTAGATAAGGTTTTTATTCTTTTGTCTGTCGTCTGGTTTCTTATGTGATGCTGTCATTAAACCATTAAAAAAAACAGGCTGATATTTAATTCATTTCGACTCATTGCTTACTTTACTCTTGAACAGGAAGAAAACAAATCTTATGTTTTCTTCTAAGTCATGGTGGATCCGAGGTACAGAAACATGCTTTAGGAGTGTAGCTGAACTACAGTTTGTTATTTTTAAGGATAGCTCTCTGGAAGGCTTAGTAGCTTAGGAAGCTGGCTATGGAGCCAGAGGTTAGAAGTTCAATTTGCTGAAATTTCTGAGTTTACACACACAGTGGATGGAGCCTACCCTTGGTATACACGTATGAACCTGTGTGTGCCAGCAGTTGAAATAATGTTCATTTAGTCAGGGAAAACCTTTAACCATATTTACTAACAAGCTGGAAAAAAAATAACTAAGAGTACTTGAACATGTTACTTGGTATAGATTTGTGCCTGACCGACTGATAACAGTTTCATAGCTACTTCTTTAATAGCATTATAATAGCAGACAGTGTAACTGAAAAACACTACTTCTCAAGAGAAAAACTTCAGGCTAACCGACAAACAGAATAAGCAGAACAAGCTTGATCCTGTTACTTCTGTCTGGCAGCTAACCCCTTCGACGCCCATTGGCTAACACCAGAAAGTAATCAATTGGTTGCAATATTCTATTATGTAAATAACACGTCAGTCATTTTTATATAAATATATACACAGACATACAGGTTGGATTGCACAATTATATATTCTAATACAATTCCCTGGTGTAGCTCCAGGACAAAGATCCAATCTGGGTGGCCCTGGGTGACCTCCATAGTTCAAGGATGCCTCCAGAAGAGAGGAATGACAAACCACCTCTGTATACAGTACGCTCTACCTAGAAAGCCCTGGAAAGGGGTTGTCGTAAGCCTGAATTTACTTGATAGCATGCCATTTACTTTTAAGGCTATTGCTCTGTTTTTTTTTTCTTAACAAAGAGGGGAGAAAACATGCCCCCTTGTTTTCTCCTGGGGAAGGAAGCAATCCAGTACCACCACCAACAAACTCTGTTATTTATTTATTTATTTATTTATTTATTTATTTATTTATTTATTTATTTATTTATTTATTTATTTATTTAT